ACTTTACACAAAAGTGTAGTAAGTACAAACATAGTTTAATGACGTCTACTAGATGACATACTTCTAAACAGGATTTGGCTTCTACCAACTTCTGTGCTATGGCCATATTCAAGAAAGATAAACTTGATTATTACTGTTTTTGTTGTAACAGTGAAAGACATTACAGCACCTCTTGTTTCCCAATTGAAAATAACATTCATGTTGACATGACGATTTATTATAATGGACAATGCTAGATAAATCACTGTATTCATAAATGTGCATCTATATTAACATTTAGGATATGAAGCAAGCTTGAGTTCTTTCTTTCTCTGGATGACATATTTTTGTAGAAGAAAATGATGTTTCTCTATGTGAATTCCTTTTTAAGAAAAAATGAAAGAGGAACTAGAAAGAGTTCTTTCAGTACAATTGATATGCTGAAGTATCTGTACAAGGAAGTTGGATATAGTTCTAACCAGACAAAATGAATATTCCATTACTTTTTTAGCATTATTTGTGTAAACTGAAGTTAAATACCTTGCATACAGTGACATCTAAATATGGTTAGTTCTATGTTGCTCGAACTCGGTTGTGGGTGTCTGAGGCAATATGTGTACATACTCGGGACTAGAACCTTTTTTTTTCCTCCCTAAAATCTAGGATATGGAGATATGGCTGAAAAGGATCCAAAATTTAGACATTGGCATGAGCGGAGGTAGTGGGGGGCCTACTCCCCAGCCCATATAAAAAATTAAGAAGAAAGTGTAGAGTTTTGGCCCAAAAATTAGCGTTAGCTCAACTCTAGTTTGAATCTCAACCCAAGTTCAATATTCAATTATTTAAATTGTATAAAAGACACCAATTATTAATTACTCGTTTCATGAAATTCATAAAATGTTAATATTTAATTGTCAAATTAGATATTCTATTTAATGTATGTTTGACTAAAATTTACTTATAATTATGAAGTAAATTTTATTATAGATAATTTGTATTGATTAGATCTAAAAGTAAACTAATTATTTTAATAGTTAGAGACTCAACATATTTTTCAAAATTTGAAAGTAATTATTATTTTTTATTTTACGCATGTTTTCATTTATTATTTATTCATATTTATTAAAAAAAAACTTATTTTGACCGTAAAATAGATATTATGGTCAAAATAAATAACTTACTATAGATTTGATAATGACAATAAAAAAATATTTGTCAAAATTTATTTATTTATAATGTAATCTATATACGAGTATATTCTTGAAATCGAGCAGAAAATGGGCGTCAATTAAATTTAATTTCTTTAACCCTCGAAATTCTTAGTTGATTTTTCTTACTTTGATTGAGGTTCTTCACTCACTTTGAAATGTAGTGATATAGAAGATCCATGAAAACACCAAATAATATTTTGAGACAATAACATATGGATTATAGTGATATATTATTGATTGCATTTTTCAATCAAGTTTCAGTTATTCGGAAAGATTGGTTGTAAAAGTTACTGGAAGAGTACTTATTAAGTATTTTTTTTAATTTTCATTGGTGGATATGTATTTTTGCTTATTTCTATCATGATTCGGTTAGTTTATATTTTTTAAGGTAAGCTTTTGGTAAAAAAATACAGAAGCTTAGTGGAATATATGAATGTGAGACGTCTAAACTTTTCTTATTTCATTGAGTGTTGTATACTTTTTATTGTGAATGTCATAAGAATAGCCTCCGAAACTCGATTTCTTGTGGCGTAAGTTCATTAAAAAAATCTTAAGTTTCAGCCCATCCCAGTATCATTTTTTAGCTTCGCCCCTAGACTAGGGGTGTAAGCACTTCAATTTTATCGATTTTTGACATATTTTCAAACCAAATCGTATAACCGATTTGAGAAAAATCCAAATCTAAATCAAACCATTTTAAACAGTTTGAAAAAAATTCAAACCTAAATCTAATGGTTTGGTCCGATTTTAAACCACTGATTTCGCCGTATATTTTTTTGTTTGTCTACTTTTACGTCATTAATTCATTGAATTCAATAATAGTTATATCTTACTAACAATAAATCTAAAATAAATTAAATATATCTACTATAAATTTAAATACCAACTAAATCAAAGTGAAATGACAATAAACTAAAACATAGTTTTTTGTTCGCCATTTTAGGTCAATGACATTATGAAAACGTTACAATAAAAGTCTATTAAACTAAATATAAGACCAAAAAATTAATAATGTCCAATAAGTTGTGATCATCAAATCTGCAAGAAAAAAAGTTACTGATTAGACAGAGAGAATAACCGACTACAATAATAAGGCGATTGTTTATAATATCTAAATATAACAATTATATAAGCTTTTGAGGCCTAGGCTCAAGACAAAAATTAAAACTTGACAAAAATAATAATAATAACAACTAATTAGGATTATTGGGTAATAATAATATATATGTAATAGAAAATTAAAAATTGACAAAAGTACCCACAAATGACAATTTATAAACCGACAGTTTCTGCTCGTTTGGTAGCCATTTTTTTCAGAATGCATTTTTCTCTCTCTTCTTTTCAACCACACATTTTTTATTAAAATAATATTACACGTAAATCAAAAAATTTTCCTTATTTTTCAACCACATATTTCACATCAATTTACTATTCTATAATACATTTTTATATAAAAATACTTATCAAACACTNTTTTCCTTATTTTTCAACCACATATTTCACATCAATTTACTATTCTATAATACATTTTTATATAAAAATACTTATCAAACACTCCCTTTATAAAATGCGGTTTCGGTTCAGTATTGCGGTTTGACGATTTTTGCTTACAGCCCTACCTGGACATTGGTACGTGGATGGGTCTTACAAACTTAAAATTATTTTAGAAACTTAAAAACTGATGGACCAAATACATTGCAAATTATTATACTTCATTTGGATTTAATTTCAAGTCCAGAAATGTGAGAGAAAAATTAAAAATCATTTTAAGTCGGATCATAAAATATTGAAAAACAATATAAAGGATTATCTTCCTATTTAAAGGATCCGAGATGGATCTCATACTTTTATCCTTGTCATGTCGTGTCAACACGAGTACATCCAAAATGGAGAGTTTGAGCACAATGGTTTAGAGCATCTTTAGGTTCGCTTATTCATTTATAACTATGGCATATGTTATCCTCTGATCTCCACCACGATACCTACTAAAATTTGTCTTCTATTGCAGAGAACAAAAGAAGGCCACAGCTAACCAGTATCATAGCGGCTTCCTCTGGTGCAATGAAAGCTGATGAAGTTGCTAAAAAATCTCTTAATGGAATCAAATCAGGCACTTTTATTGTTCCCTGCAACTTCGAGGGATTCTTACTTTCTGTTTCAACTGCTGGGTTATGCCCTCAAAGATCATTCTTAATGGCATTTATGGAGGTGGTTACTTCCCCGATATTACGTATTGCTGGTTTATGTTTCCAGTGGAACTGGTATGAAAGCATTGAGAAGTGGCATGCACAGAAGAAATAGTAGGTAAGGTATATACACACATTTTTTTTTGTTCTTGTTGATCGTGCACTACATGGAAATTGAAGCGCTGATTTGCATCCTGATAGTGATTGATATATTTCACTAATGTTATGATGCAGGAATCCAGAAGTTCTTGAATTTGTTTGGATATGCTGTTGATTGTAGCACTTGAATCTGATAAAGTTGTTATGGTACCTTCAATGAAATCTGAGGAAACACAATCGTCGAGTATTTACTACTTTGGAGACAAAACTCTGCTCTTTGAAGTGCCCATGCATATCCTGTTCGACAGATTGAATCCTCTCAACTATTTTTGGCAAATATGAAAATGATTTCATTTGCCAAAGGAACAACTGTGAAACTTTTAGTCTCTCTTATGTATTGACTTTCTCGAGCTTCTTGAAATGATTTGCTGTTAGATTATGATCTCATTTGCAATGCTGCCTGCAGGCTGTAAGTAAATAGAAAAGTTATTATAATTAAAATGTTATTCACAACTCTTATATCACCATGTATAATTATTTGAAAATATTGATTAAAATTCTGCTCTGGAAGGAAACAAAATCCTGACTGGGCATGGATCAGCTTGAAAAAGCAATATAAGGGTTACTAAACAGATTGAAATATTCCTC